GCATGTGATTTTTGCACATTGATTTTGTATCCTGAGACTTTGCTGAAATTGCTTATCAGATTCAAGAGGTTTCTGGCTGAGACGATGGGGTCTTCTAGATATACAATCATGTCGCCTGCAAATAGAGACAATTTGACTTCCTCCTTTCCTATTTGAATGCCCTTTATTTCTTTTTCTTGCCTGATTGCTCTGGCTAGAACTTCTAATACTATATTGAATAGCAGTGGTGAGAGAGGGCATCCTTGTCTGGTGCAACACTTCAAGGGGAATGCTTCCAGTTTTTGCCCATTCAGTATGATATTGGCTGTTGGTTTGTCATAAATAGCTTTTATTATTTTGAGATACGATCCATCGATACCTAGCTTATTGAGGGTTTTTAGCATAAAGGGCTGTTGAATTTTGTCAAAGGCCTTCTCTGCATCAATTGAGATAATCATGTGGTTTTTGTCTTTGGTTCTGTTTATGTGGTGAATTACGTTTATAGACTTGCGCATGTTGAACCAGCCTTGCATCCCTGGGATGAAGCCTACTTGATCATGGTGGATAAGCTTTTTGATGTGCTGTTGCAATCGGCTTGTCAGTATTTTATTGAAGATTTTTGCATCTATGTTCATCATGGGTATTGGCCTGAAGTTTTCTTTTCTTGTTGAGTCTCTGCCGGGTTTTGGAATCAGGATGATGTTGGTCTCATAAAATGATTTGGGAAGAATTCCCTCTTTTTGTATTGTTTGGAATAGTTTCAGAAGGAATGGAACCAGCTCCTCTTTGTACGTCTGGTAGAACTCAGCTGTGAACCCATCTGGACCTGGGCTTTTTTTGGGTGGTAAGCTCTTAATTGCTGCCTCAACTTCAGACCTTGTTATGGGTCTGTTCAGGGTTTCGGCTTCTTCCTGGTTTAGGCTTGGGAGGAGGCAAGTGTCCAGGAATTTATCCATTTCTTCCAGGTTTACTAGTTTATGTGCATAGAGTTGTTTGTAATAATCTCTGATGATGGTTTGAATTTCTATGGAATCTGTGGTGATATCCCCTTTATCGTTTTTTATTGCATCAATTTGGTTATTCTCTCTTTTCTATTAATCTGGCTAGTGGTCTGTCTATTTTGTTGATCTTTTCAATAAACCAGCTCCTGGATTTATTGATTTTTTGAAGAGTGTTTTGTGTCTCTATCTCCTTCAGTTCTGCTCTGATCTTAGCTATTTCTTGTCTTCTGCTAGACTTTGAGGTTTTTTGATCTTGCTCCTCTAGCTCTTTCAGTTTTGACAATAGGGTCTCAATTTTTGATCTCTCCTTGCTTCTCATGTGGGCACTTATTGCTATATATTTTCCTCTAGACACTGCTTTAAATGTGTCCCAGAGATTCTGGTATGTTGTGTCTTCATTCTCGTTGGTTTCGAAGAACATCTTTATTTCTGTCCTCATTTCATTGTTTATCCAGTCAACATTCAAGAGCAAGTTGTTCAGTTTCCATGAAGCTGTGTGGTTCTGGGTTAGTTTTTGAATTCTGAGTTCTGACTTGATTGCACTGTGGTCTTAGAGACTGTTTGTTACGATTTCCGTTCTTTTGCTTTTGCTGAGGAGTGATTTACTCCCAATTATGTGGTCAATTTTAGAGTAGGTGTGATGTGGTGCTGAGAAGAATGTATATTCTGTGGATTTGTGGTGGAGAGTTCTGTAAATGTCTATTAGGTTTGCTTGGTCCAGGTCTGAGTTCAAGTCCTGGATATCCTTGTTAATTTTCTGTCTGGTTGATCTGTCTAATGTTAACAATGGGGTGTTAAAGTCTCCCACTATTATTGTGTGGGAGTCTAAGTCTCTTTGTAAGTCATTAAGAACTTGCCTTATGTATCTGGGTGCTCCTGTATTGGGTGCGTATATATTTAGGATCGTTAGCTCTTCTTGTTGCATTGATCCTTTTGCCATTATGTAATGTCCTTCTTTGTCTCTTTTGATCTTTGTTGCTTTAAAGTCTAATTTATCAGAGATGAGAATTGCAACTCCTGCTTTTTTTTGCTCTCCATTTGCTTGGTAAATCTTCCTCCATCCCTTTATGTTGAACCTTTGTGTATCCTTGCATGTGAGATGGGTTTCCTGGATACAGCACACTGATGGGTTTTGTCTTTTTATCGAATTTGCCAGTCTGTGTCTTTTGATTGGGGCATTTAGTCAATTTACATTTAGGGTTAATATTGTTATGTGTGAATTTGATACTGCCATTTTGATGGTAGCTGGGTGTTTTGCCCTTTAGTTGAGCTGGTACTTGTCGTTCCTTTATATGTGTAGAGCCTCTTTCAGGAGCTCTTGTAGAGCTGGACTGGTGGTGACGAAATCTCTGAGTACTTGCATGTTCCCAAAGGATTTTATTTTTCCTTCACTTATGAAGCTTAGTTTGGCTGGATAGGAGATTCTGGGTTGAAAGTTCTTTTCTTTAAGGATGTTGAATATTGGCCCCCACTCTCTTCTGGCTTGTAGGGTTTCTGCTGAGAGATCTGCTGTGAGTCTGATGGGCTTCCCTTTGTGGGTAACCCGACCTTTCTCTCTGGCTGCCCTTAGTATTTTCTCCTTCACTTCGACCCTGGTGAATCTGACGATTATGTGCCTTGGGGTTGCTCTTCTTGACGAATATCTTTGTGGTGTTCTCTGTATTTCCTGGACTTGAATGTTTGCCTGCCTTGCTAGGTTGGGGAAGTTTTCCTGGATAATATCCTGAAGAGTATTTTCCAGCTTGGATTCATTCTTTTCGTCACATTCGGGTACACCTATCAAACGTAGATTAGGTCTTTTCACATAGTCCCACATTTCTTGGAGACTTTGTTCATTCCTTTTTACCCTTTTTTCTCCAGTCTTGCCTTCCCGTTTTATTTCATTGAGTTGATCTTCGACCTCTGATATCCTTTATTCTGCTCGGTCAATTCGGCTGTTGATACTTGTGCATGCTTCACGAAGTTCTCGTGTTGCGTTTTTCAGCTCCATCAATTCACTTATATTCCTTTCTATTTTGTCCATTTTCGTTAGCATTTCATCAAATCTTTTTTCAAGGTTCTTAGTTTCTTTGTATTTGGTTAGAACATGTTCTTTAAGTTCACAGAAGTTTCTTACTACCCACCTTCTGAAGTCTGATTCTGTCATTTCATCACACTCGTTCTCCATCCAACCTTGTTCCCTTGCTGGTGAGGAGTTGTGATCCCTTGTAGGAGGAGAGGTGTTCTGGTTTCAGGTGTTTTCATCCTTTTTGCGCTGGTTTCTTCCCATCTTTAAGGATTTATCCATCTGTCAACTTTGTAGTTGCTGGCTTTCAGATTGGGTCTCAAATCTTTCAGATTGACATTCTGTTTGTTGATGATGAGGTTATTTCTGTTTCTTGGTTTTCCTTCTGACAGTCTGGTCCCTCTGCTGTAGGTCTGCTGAGGTTAACTCCAGGCCCTGCTTACCTGGGGTTCACCTGCAGCAGCTGCTGAACAGTAAGGGTTGTTACCAGTTTTCTTCTTCTGCTATCTTTGTCCCAGAAGGATACCCGCCTTGTGTCAATCTGATCTCTGTTTTATGAGGTGTCTCTTTGGATATATAGGGGTCAGGGAGCTGCTTGAGGAGATGGTCTCTTCTCTATATGAGCTCAAATGGTGAGCTGCGAGCTCTGTTGTTGTTCATTCAGAGCTGCTGGGCAGGTACGTTTAGGTCTGCTGCAGCAGAACTCATAAACTGCTTTTTGTTCCCAGGTGCTCTGTCCCAGGGATTTAGGGCTTTATTTATGAGTTTCCATTATGCTGCCACCTTCTTTTTTTTTTTTTTTTTTTTTTCCTTCAGAC